TTTTTTGGTTATAATTGAATAAAAAATATATTTTTAGTAGCGTAAAACCTTTACTTTTCCTAGGGATTCAGGCGAAATATTTATTTTTGTTTTCATACAGATACTAATAATATAAGCACTCTATTTGTATGCAAATATGTTGAAATTTAAAAATTGTGTGCAGAGGAAATACTGTGAATACCTAGGTAAATAGTAGCAGATTTGCGAATTTTGATTCACTGTCAGTAATTTCCAAGCAGTTTTACTGAAATAAAAACAAAATAGATTACAATAAAGAAAAATCTGATTTATAATTCAATATGGTATTTTAGATGAGTTGTAATGAAATTTAGTAAAATAAAAAATATACACATTACTATAATCTATCGATTGTTACATGCAAAATTTATATGCAAAAAACTCAATAAATATCGACTTCAGACGACTCAACACCGACAAGACAGAAGGCTTGTATAAAAACAAAAGTTTGACAATAATATTGGTTATCAATGGTCACGATTGCAAATTGCAAGTTATAAGATAATAAATTTATTTTAAAGCAACTTAATACTGACTGAGTCATCTATTTGATAATAGAAAAATAATTTAGATATATACATATTATGTCTCTTTATACAAATATCCACTTCGCAAGGCCTTAAAAAATTTGATGATTAAAATTTAACCGGCGCGGCGATGGTATCCCAGACGAGCGCCTAAAAAATTACTAATAGTAAGACGCGCCTGTGTCTGAGGCTTGTGTGTACTTGTGGTGTTTAGTTACTGTTTATTTATACTGTATAGTATTTTTGTTGTAAAACTAAAAGTTTTTATTTGCCATTGTATGTATATCTGGTTTTTTACCTTTTTCAAAATGCACTGTGCAGTTGCTTGTTTTGTGGTCACACTATCTTTACGGAATGTATGAAACCTAAAGATACAATCTTTAGGTTTTATACATTTCGTAAAGATAGTGTGCCCAGAAAACTGTGGATAATATCTTGTAGACAGGATAATTTTAATTGTAATACTGTAAGAATTTGTTCTAAACGTTTTAAAACTGAAGATTACCAAAGAAATCTACAACAGGAAATTTTAAATTACGTTTCTATAAAGGGTCTAAAACTAAAACTTGAGGCAGTACCTAGTGTCTATTTGCCTAAATCAAAATCGGCTACCCTTTAAACCAACCAAAAGAAACACGTACAAAGAGCCGAACACAGAGAGTCCAAAAAGTATGTTGAGCAGCTTCTTATTACTTCTAAGTCAACGGACGTAAGTCTAAATCTTTATTTTTATTATTTATTAGTCATGAAAAATAAAAAATATCAATGCATGAAACAATCAATTTTTATGCCTAGAAAGGAAAAGCATACTTTTCTTTTTAGTAGGTATAATGTTTTACATTATTCTGAAAGGATATTACTTACCTATCTTTCTAAGAAAATAATAAATAAATCTCACATTAGATGCGTCACAATCATCTGCATGCATGGTAGCTGGCATCAATTTACTACTTATTTTTGATTAAATATTATAATAACATAATTTTATCATGTCTTTATAATTACTATAATTAAATTAGCCAAACTATATATAAAAAACTTAAAATTAAAAATTTTTACTATACCACTACATTCAAATGTTGCGGGAATAAGCGGTCTTGACTACGTCATGCGCGAAAGCGAACCGATTTTGGAACATTATGTATCATACCTTGTGTTCATTGTACCATGACGTAGATGCGAGAGATTTTAAAAAAGATCTACGAAGGCGGTCATGAGTAAGGTGTGCGAACTATATCAAATAACAAGTAGTTCTTCTGACCTGACCTCAGAAGGCACAATACATCCAGTCAGACCTCGTCTCAGCTTGAACGACGGTAACGAAGAACATTTAAAGAAGCTGGGAGTCAGAAGATTATCAACAGTAGCTTAAAATCGATCTGTTTGGAAGCATAATATAGTTAAATTATGACGGAAGCATATAGTTAAACTGCTGATTGTTTGAGCAGAATATCTTGGCATATAATTTGGAGACATTTTTATGAATGTATGAACTTTTTTATAATAGATTAGTTTGCATATTTGATCGAAATGTCTTTATTAAGTCTTCATCGTTATCAACTCTGACAACGATATTTAAATAAAATAATACTGCCTTGTTAAGAATATAAGTCGTATCTGCAATTTTGAGTTTTTTTAGGTTATAAAGCCAACACATTGATAGTCAAATAATCTACCTATATGTTAAGAATGAAAGTCTTATCTGCTGTTTAAAAATAAGTTATTCCACTTTAAAATTTTGTCGGATCTGCATTTTACAGTTTATGTGAAGCCAATTTGTCGAATCTCCATTTGTTAATATTTTTCACAAGATGATTTGTAGTTACGACAAATTTGATTAACAACTGTGTAGTTTCGACAAAATATTCTAACAACAGAAAGATCCTAAGAACCTAATCATTCATAGTGTTCCCGCCTTTTTAGTTTCTTAACCTAAAAATTAAAAGGCTGTAAGCGTTATTCGGCGTATCTGATTTTCAGTTATTTACTAGAATTAATCTTATTGTTATAGTGTTTTTAAGTGTGTTTGCATTAAAGTTTATTAACTAAACCAGTAACAATGGACAGAAATAGCAGAGCGTTTAAAATGCTGCCTAAACCCTCGTGAAGAAACCTAAACTTCAGCATGATAATGACGCTGATTTTATTTTGTTTGATTCAGAGATGGAAGAAATTGAGGAAACGAAATTAAACAGAAAAGGTTTAAATAAAGTGAAGATTATTAGTGATATTAGTGATACCTTTGAGAGCTGCAAATGTTGTTCCTGAAGAATCTGATTCCAAAGGTGAAGAAGAAGGTAAGGAACTCTGTCTCCCTTTATTCAAGAAATCTTGGTAGATATAATATATGTATCTGTTGAAAGGGCGGAAAAAGACAATTTAACTAAAACAGGGGAAATCTGTAAGCGAAAGAAATTTAATGAGAGCCTAGCAATGAAAGAAAAAAAAAAAAAAAGAAAATTAACAGCGACAATTGCTAAGCACGGTGTAAAACCATCTTGTATATCGTGCAAGATAAGATGTTCCGAAAAAATTACAGAAGCGAGACGAACAAAAATACATGGAGACAGAACAGCAAAAATTTATTTTTAATAACGCATCTGAACAAGAAACCAAACGGAAAACCACATCTAGTGTTGTGTCTAGAAGGTCGAAAAGTTTTTTATATTTTCTTAAAGACAATGACGGATGCACACAAAGTGTCTGCAAAATATTTTTTATAAGAACGCTGGGATATGAAAAGAAAAATGACAGTTACTAGAGATGCCCTTACTAAAACAAATTCAAAAGTGACGGTCAACAGGAATAAACAAGGAAAGACAGGAAAAATTAAATTAGATCGAAATAATAATAAAAAATATATTTCAAACTCACAGAACCACACTACCGTTTGGAACACGCACCAGAATGACGTTATATTCCCATTGACATCACAATAAAAATGATGCTTTCGTATTATTTATATCGAGAAGTTTAAATATTTCGTTTGTAAAATTAGGACATGAAGAGTGCTGGTTGTGTGAATCATTTGATTTGCAATCAAAATCCACGTCTCATAGAAAGATGCATTGCTGGATAATTGTGAGGAATGCACCAACTTTGGTGTACATCAAAATAAATACATTGCTGCCAGATCAGAATATCAAAACTGACTCGTCTGTAAAAAGTAACTGGGACCATACATCAATGGTAGTTTCAGCGGATATGCAAAAGGTAATAAAATATTATATTAATTATAAATGTTTTATTTTGTTGTTATATTCTAGGTCATAATGCTTCCGAGAATGGATATGTTTAAGGAGATTATTTTTACACCTAGAATAATGCTTTTAACTGCTTTTAATGAAAGTTTTGTCGTCACTGCTAGAAAGCCAACAGTATCAACTGCAATTTTATGCCACGAAGGAATAGCCGGACTGAGTAAGTCGGATATTTCCAGCACATTCTATAATTTTGTTTTGTCTTACCGAGACGCTAAAAATGTTATAATATGGCTTGACAATTGCTCTGCTCAAAATAAAAACTGTGCTTTGTTTACTTTCTTTACGTTTATTGTAAACTCTGAGGATATTGCAGTTGAAAAATTAAGTATTGAGTATTTTGAGCCTGGCCATACCTTAATGGCCGCGGACTCATTCCACCATCAAGTGGAACGCTCCATGAAGCAAATGGGTAAAATATACGATTTTAAAGACTTTTTGGATGCAGTAGCAAATGCAGCAACTAATGCTAAAGTAAGTGTTATGGAACTAGCTGACTTTTTTGAATGGAAGATGGTACTTCTGCATATAAACTGAATAAAATTAATCCCAGGCCATACCTAAATCAAATGGTTCAAGTAAATTTTTCTACAGGTAAATATACTTTTGCGTACAAAACTAGCTTCACCTTAGAGACCGAAAGTAAAGTAAACATTCTAAAAGCAAATATTGGAAAACAGAGAATGACAAATCCTTTACTAAGTCCATTCCTAGATTCATAACGACTGAAAGAAAACAACTAATTATATCCAAACTATGTGGACACATGCCTAAAAGCAGACAAATTATTGGAATAATTTACCAACTTCAATGGAATCTGGAGCTTTAGATAATTAAAAAAACTGATTTTGACCTTATGTTGTTTTGTTTATCTTATTAAACTATAACTATGACTAAGATAAGACTTTTTACTTTACCTTATTTTTATGATTTATTAGGATTAAATGTCGTATCTACCAAAAAGTCTAATTTCAAATACTCTGAAAGAAAATTGCACGCACCCATTAAATTTGTACTCAAAAAATATATTGCTATGTTGTAACAAGATTTTTAATAAGTCATTACAGTTGATGGCAATTAATCAAATCTAAAACATCAAATATCTCAAAATAGGGATTTTGTCAGTTACGACTTCTATTCTTAACAGGGCAGAATAATTGTAGAAAATTAACTTAACAAATAGATTCATACTTACTCCTTTCATATCTATAATTACAAAAAGACCACTTGGAGGATTTTTTTCTTGGGCGATATCCATTAGCATATATGATACCTTCATTACAGGTATCATTTCAAAATTTCTGTAATTGGAATCATGTAAATTAAAATAGTGGTACACGTCGTTTTCTTCTGTTCGGACTGGTATACTTGACATCCGTCTAAAAAATATTTAAAAAAATTACAGATTATTTAATGTGTATAAAAGTAACTATTAGATTCCGAAACTGTTTGCTTGTGGCATGTCTAAGTTATCTATTATGTTTATATGGGATTAAGCTAAATTGATAGTAATGAAAATTATATTTTTTGCGAATATTTGACGTTTCGATTTCCACTTTGGAAATCGTTTTCAAAAAATATTATTTGAGAATTGTGTGCAATTTGGCAGTTATAGTCTTTTCACACAATTCTTAAATAATTTTTAAAGTTGTACTTCTATACGCGCCTTCGACGTTAGAACTTTGTACGGGAGTGAATCGGTGAAATCATTACATATGTAAGATATGAGTAAGAAGATATACAGAAGATATATTTTCTCTCACTTTCTCTCTCGAGAGTAAAAATGTTCCTTTTGTATATATATATTTAATATTATATAATATATATATATATATATATATATATATATATATATATATATATATATATAACATACATATTAATACTATTAGTTATGTGATAGGTTTTGTATTATTTATTAAATGTTCATAATTATTTTACGCTTCTTTATTTCGAAATAATATTTATAATAAATCACTGTATGACCTGGTATGACCGAGAACTGTCAATTTTGAAATACGTTAGTGTCATGTCTAATTGGCAAATTGTTTACGTGTTTTTTCCATACGCTCGTATATGTGAGTTCGAATCCCAATATGAATTTCCTTTTTAATTTTTGAAAAATATAAAAACCCCACATTAATCTTAATAAATTAATGTAGTATACGCAAAAATGCTAAATTTTAAAATAAAATGAAAATTTACAACATAATCCGAGTTGTTGGTTTTTTATTTTTATCTTCCACAAACATTTTTTGAAGTTATACTTCTATACGCGCATTCCATGTTGGAAATTTGTACGGGAGTGAATCGGCAAAAGCATTACATAGGTAAGATATAGGTAAAAGAGAGACAGATCATATATTTTCTCTCTCTCTCTCGAGAATGAAAATTTTCCTTTTGTAAATATATTTAATATTTAATAACATTATTATTTTTTTATTAATATTATTATTATGGTACATATGCGTAAGTAAGTTATGAATATTGTATTTTAATTTGTATTGTATTATTATATTGAATTATGTTACAGTGTATTGTATTGTATTTTTATATCAATAACAAAATAAACAATAAATTTTACTATCGAGTATGCGTAATTTTTTTTTGCACTCAACTCCTTTCAAACATATATGGAAATAAAAAAAATATGTTAAAAAATATTAGTAAAATATTGATTCAATCCTTCATTTACTATACTCTTATTACAGATCAACTGTTTATACACAGCAAATGTAATAATCAGAGGCGACTCCGGTGTCACCACTGTAAAATAATAGGAATGGGAGCGTTATGTGAAGGTAAGGAAAACGCTGTCACCAAATGAAATACACAATAGATCCTCAAGGGATGCTAACCCTGAGAGCGGCTGCAAGGAATACTGGTCACACTGGTCTGGAGGGCTGGCTCGTCTTCGTGGATTTACGAGAAGATAAGGGATTTCGGGATAGGGGTAAGGACTCCTAGGTCTCAGGTCCTGTAAAGAGCAGAGGTTATGGGCTTACTTTGAAGCCGGAGATATGCATACGCAGAATCTCGTGTTCTCCTAGTCTCTAGTGAGTCGGACGAAAGGAACATTAAAAAAAACTAATTTAGAGTCAACAATATATTGAATCTACCCTGAAGTTACAAATACAATCGTTAACACGTTATTCTGCGCGTCGGGAGACGATGAAGCAAGATAGTGAAGAGTTGACAGTTGTACTAATATAATTACACAGGTTAGTATAAAGAAATCTGTTACCTTATGTGTGTATTAGGGCTTTCAACCACGACACGTTCAGTCCTCTGGAACTCGGTCAGTTGAGGGTCTCCTCCTGAGTTACGAACTTACGAGCTGCCACAATAACCGGACTACACGCGATACTAGGCCGGATGATAAGCGCCCCCCGGAGAATTACCGACTGTCTCGTACTGATCGCGTACGGGACGCTATCGCGTCCGAGCCGGAGCTCAGCAATTACTGACTGCCCATTACTGACTGCCCATTACCAACTACTGACTGACTGGCGTCCTTAGTTCGGTTTTTATCAAATGGTGTCCTCATTGACCGGTTGTAGTCCAAGGTTGCGTTTTCGCCGAGTTGTAGTTTTGGCGTTATTGCTCCTATTTGGGTCACGGGTGTTGTTATTTTTTTACAACAATAGTTTCTGTTTAACGTGCTTTTTATACGTTTAAACAATTATCAAACAATTCAATAACTAGGTCAATTTCTTTGTGTGATTTAAAATGCAATTTTTAGTGTAATAATTATCCCTTATTTGATTTGGAATATATAATAATTATCTCGAATAATTATTATCTTTTCTATGCTACTTAGCCCTTTAATTTAACTTCTCACTCACTTGCTACGCTCACATTACATTACTCCCTACGCAAAAAAAGAAAAGGGCCGAGGGGCCTTTTCCTTTTCCAACAATAAACTTATCCTATTTACATATTTATTACTTATATCCCACTATATGTATATATATATATATATATATATATATATATTTTTTTTTTTCTTTATAAGTCCCAATTTATATTTTATCATTTACTGTTTCTTATAGACTATTGTACCGTGGTCAGCGAATGTATCGTGCTGCCCCCGTATTGAACCTATGTGTATGACAAGTTGAGTTAATCTTGTATTAATCTTATTGAAACTTAACAAGTGAAAGAACTTTCCTAACTTATTACAATTGTTTGTGATTACATGTGTCCATTACGACAAGCGTATTCTAACTGTTCTATACGATTGTACTCGCGTTTGGCGTTTACTGATCACTTTATCGGCGTATCCCTGTGGGAATTATCCGCACTTCACTCCCGTCGTCTTGGCTGTTTTAATGTCCGTTTGCCAATTCCACGTGTCGAGTTAACTATATTGATGCGTTACTGCTGCTGTCTGCCTCCATTGGTCTGTCCTTGCTGGGTGGTCGTCTCAGGTTGATACTGCTTTGCTTTGTCGCATTATACTTCTGCTACCTTGGTCTCTGGTATGTGTTTGCTGCATCTCTTTGTTTGGCATCGTCGTAGTACTGTGTCCAAGTATAGATTTTCTATTTCTTTTTGGTAGGATTGTTCGGTGTAAAGGAATTTGCTATTGATGTAGGTCATTAGGTCTACGTTTTGAGGTAGGAGTGGCATACTAGGATTTATTTTGTTTACGAGGAAATTTATTAGGATTCGGGGGTGTTCAGTTTGCCATACTTCTGTGTTACATATTATAGCTCTTTTGTGTAGCATTAGAGCAAATATGTTTTTATCTTGTTCTACTATTACCAATTCTTCTAGTGATTGTTTATTAGTGATCTTTTCAACGCGCCCTCTGTAAAATTGTGACAATTGACTTTCACAACTGTTGTGTTTGTATTGTTCCCAGGTTATTTCGCCTATTGTAGAGTCGAAGCAGTAGCCGTTGATGAATGAGCATGTTACTCCTTCTCGTAGGTGGATTTCGTTGTCGTCTTCTTGTAGAGTTGTATCGATCGGTATCAGTGTATATTTCGGCATTCCTCTGCTCCTATCTTCTTGATGTAGCTGTCTAGTCCTCCATCGACTATGGACGTGTGGCTGTACATCCCACAGTGGAACATGAGTCTCTCCATCGTGATGAGTCTCTCCGGTGTAACAACTCGCACTGTTATTACTTCCCGAACGGTCGCACTCCCGTAAGCAGACTTTAGTTCGCATTAGTACTTTTTACGCGTAACTCAAATGCACCTTAACCTATAAATACATGTATAGCTGCTTATTGCAGACAATTTTAGCGATAGCTTTACATAAATCTGACTTATAAACTAACCTAAATTGTATTGCATATTAGTATGCCTATTGACTATAAACTGATAAATAAATTGATATCTAAACCAATATTAATATGTTATATATACACCCTGTATATTAGAGTCATATATTTTTAATTCTCAACTTGTCATCACTTATTGTTTATAGTTACGTATGTGTAACGAATTTTCCTTATTTGAAGAATGTTTTTAGTTAAACTATTTTCAAGCGTATTTCTTAAAATTCAAAATTATTCCTTAACTCTTTCTCAAAATTTCAAAATAATTCAAACATAGAATTTATCTTTCTCATCAAACACGTTTTCTGTGTTATGATATTTATGTTTCAAGGCTAGTTAATAACATTTTGCTGAGAGCTGAATTTTTATATACTCACATTGTTAATGAAATTTGATATTGACTAATGTAATGAACTCTTGGTGTCTGTTATAAACTACAATATTTATTTTTTTATTTAATTGAAAAAACGTTTTCTACACTTGACCTGTATTAGTTGTTTATTTATCAGTGCTCTGACTCAATCTTTATACTACTGTCTTAGTTGATAGGAATTCAAGTCTGTCAATCAGTTTTGACATAGCAATAAAGGATTGGCGTATGGTATCTTACCGATCCAGCTCTTGTTTTTACTAATCAACAGCAGCTTAGACCCCTATAAACTTTAGATTAATTTACTTATTTCTCTTTCTTAAAACTTGCTTTTAGTTATGATTTACTATTATGTTTTCAAAAATTTGTTTTCATTGAACTGTGCTAATATTTAACTATGAATGCTTATATTACCTGTGTTTTCTCTTTCGTTCCTTGTTAAAATTTTAGTATTATTCGAGCGGCCGTCTCTTGTAATACCAAGCTTTCAACTTTTCTTATAGTTGTTTTGATATTTTTTCACTATTCATCTATTGCGTCGAAAAACATGTCTGTGTCCTCATCGCTCTGTGTTATTTTTGCTGTCTCATTCTTGTTTATTATTCTGTTGTATGTGTTCCATCCTTTCTTTATCGTTTTGTGGAATATGCAGCAACATTTTAGTCTTTTCTTTATTCGTTCTGATCTTTTTGGTTGGCTGGTGTCTCCCTGACTTCCTT